CAGGCGCAAAACAGAAGCTGCCAGTCACGTTGCGAGTACCTAAAATGTTTGGTCTTGGGGTGGGCTGGCTGTCTGCTACGCACAGGTGCGAGCGGCCTGAATGCGAGCACCCATGACGTTGCCACGCCCTAAACTGGCCCTAAACCCTAAACCCGAGACCCGAAACCCTAAACTTAGAACCCCCGAATCCCAACATGCCAGACATCTGCAGGTTCTTTGCAGTGGCCGCCATCGCCTTGGCCCGGTTTTGCACCGGAAACGAAGTTCTTCCTCAGAGCCAGGAACGCCAGTTACGACCAGCTGGGAGGGAGTTCCGGAACATTGGGTGTTGCATACATCAACTTTGGTTGTATGTATGTGTGTGTGTGTGTGTGCGTGTACATACTTGTATACTTTGCTAAAACATTCTTATGTACCTATGTACCTATGTAGGTAGGTAGGTAGGTAGGTAGGTAGGTAGGCAGGCAGGCAGGGAGGGAGGGAGGTAGGTAGGTAGGTAGGTAGGTAAGTAGGTAGGTACACATGTCTTCTAAACAGTCATGGCCTCGAACAGGACCCGAGAGACAAAACCTAAGTGGTAATATCCTTAATGAACAGATCTCTAAACCAGGTGTCCCGAAATAACAATAGAAACCCACAGAAGCTAGCTTTGCAGAGGATTCTTTACCCACGTTGAGCGTATTGAGGGTTTTCGGTTTCAGGGTTCAAGGTTTAGGGACCAGTGAATGTTGTAGAAGTCGTGCAGATCGCCAAGAACGAAGAACCTCAGACTCCAGACCGATCCGCTCTACAATTGCAAAGAGCTCTACAGACTCTGATAATGATAGTAGACGCAGTCGTATAGTAGACACAATAGGCTCAGTTTTAAGAATTGTCGCAATTCAAGTTGCGTCTTGTGAGGAGCCTCTGGGCTGGGCTGTGGTCGCGATGCTAGTTGCGGAGATGATTGAAGATCTCGTTTCGTGGGTGCTCGCCTCTCCGACAGACAGTGTGCGTGGGACCTGTTTTCGGGTTTAGGGTTCAGGGTCTTGGTTTTGGTTCGCCAGCAGAATCGACATGAGTCGTGCTAAGGTCAGGAGAGGTTTGCGCGTGCACCCAGAGCCGCGCCAGATCACAGACGAGGAGGTGCGGTCTGTAGAGAGATGCAGGATCTGTCGCTTGCGAAGCTGTTTAGAGCTTCAGGCAGCCTGGATGACCCAGCTACGATCCGAAAGCTTTAACATAAAAAGCACTGGCCCAGAGCTTCTAACTGCCGCAAAGGCAACTGATGTAGCTCCAGGCAAAGGCTGCAGGATGTGAGGTCTTCAGCTACGAGACTGCGCAAGCAGATCGAAGTTGGATGAATCCTAGACAGAGCACCTACACACTTGTGTTTGGGTCTTCAGGTTGAGATCCTTGTCATCAACGAGATGAAAACCAGTCAGGGCTCCCTTGCCTCACTTAGCCCACCATTCAAAGCCGTGGTTCCGAGAGCTTGGCTCGCTGACACAGCGGACGATGTCGCTACGACCCCTACGACTCCCAGGCTATCACCAGAGATGAGGCAGTCGCTTGGGCTATGCTTCCGGACATTTTTTTCGCTCCAGACAACCAGCGAAACTTACAAATATATATGTATATACTATACACATACATACATATATACAT